CGTGGAAGAGATTCTGTCGGTGTGCAACAGCGTGCGCCACGGCGACACCAATGAAGCGCTCACCGAAGAACTGCTGGCGCGCATCCGGCAGGTGACTGCTGCTTTCAATGAAGAAGGGCTGCGCGTGGTAGCGGTGGCCGCGAGGCCAATGACAGCGGGGCGTGACACCTACAGCCTGGCCGATGAAAACGACCTCACGCTGATCGGTTATGTAGCGTTTCTCGACCCGCCCAAGGAAAGCACTGCACCGGCACTCAAAGCGCTCAAGGCCCACGGCGTGGCAGTCAAGGTGCTGACTGGCGATAACGAACTGGTCACCGCAAAGATCTGCCGCGAAGTCGGCCTGGAGCAACAGGGCCTGCTGATGGGGAACGACATCGAAGCGATGAACGACGCCGAACTAGCCACGGCGGTGGAAACCACCAACGTGTTCGCCAAGCTCACGCCAGCTCACAAGGAGCGCATTGTGCGCCTGCTCAAGGCCAACGGGCATGTGGTGGGCTTTATGGGCGATGGCATCAACGATGCACCGGCGCTGCGTACGGCGGATATCGGTATTTCGGTGGACAGCGCGGTGGACATCGCCAAGGAAGCCGCGGACATCATCCTGCTGGAAAAGAGCCTGATGATCCTGGAGGAGGGCGTGCTGGAAGGTCGGCGCACCTTCGCCAACATGCTCAAGTACATCAAGATGACCGCCAGCTCCAACTTCGGCAACGTGTTCTCCGTGCTGGTCGCCAGCGCGTTCATTCCGTTCCTGCCGATGCTGCCGATGCACCTGCTGGTGCAGAACCTGCTGTATGACATCTCGCAGATCGCAATTCCGTTCGACAACGTCGATGCGGACATGCTGGCCAAACCGCAGCGCTGGCAGCCGGGGGACGTGGGGCGCTTTATGTTGTTCTTCGGGCCGATCAGTTCGATCTTCGACATCACCACCTTCGCCCTCATGTGGTACGTGTTCGATGCCAATACACCGGATCACCAGACGCTGTTCCAGTCCGGCTGGTTCGTGGTGGGCCTGCTGACCCAGACGCTGATCGTGCACATGATCCGCACCCCGAAAATCCCGTTCCTGCAAAGCCGCGCGGCGCTGCCGTTGATGGTGATGACCGGCGTGATCATGGCGGTGGGCATCTTTTTGCCAATGGGCCCGCTGGCGCACTACTTCAAATTGCAGGCGCTGCCATCGCTGTACTTTGTGTTTTTGCCGGTGATTCTGCTGGCGTACATGGGGCTGACCCAGGCGGTGAAGGGCTACTACATCCGTAAGTTTGGCTGGCAGTGAAACGGGGCGATTTACCATGCAGGCAATCAACAACATCAACCTCGATTCCCTGATCGATACCCTGGTCAGCCTCACCGCAGCGTTTATTCTCGGTGGGCTGATCGGCTTCGAACGTCAGTACCGCCAGCGCACGGCGGGGCTGCGCACCAACGTGCTGGTGGCGGTGGGCGCGGCCATTTTTGTCGACATGGCCAACCGCCTCGGCGGTGCGGACGGCGCGGTGCGCGTGGTGGCTTATGTAGTGTCGGGCATCGGCTTTCTGGGCGCGGGCGTGATCATGCGTGAGGAAGGCAATGTGCGCGGGCTTAACACCGCCGCCACGCTGTGGGCGTCGGCGGCGGTGGGTGCCTGCGCCGGCGCGGACCTGATTCTCGAAGCGCTGCTGGGCACCTTGTTTGTGCTGGCGGCCAACACCTTGCTGCGGCCGATCGTGAATAACATCAATCGTCAGCCGCTGGATGTGGTGTCGGCGGAGGTCACCAATATTCTGTATGTCATCGCGCGGCGTACCCAGCAAAAGGCCGTGTTGGCATTGCTCGAAGCGGAACTGGCGCGCTGCAACTACCCAGCCAGCGACGTGGACGTGCGCCCGTTCGGTCCTGAGGAAGTGGAGATCGAGGCCACACTGGCCGTGACCTCGGTGGACGGTGACGAGTTGGATGCGCTGGTGGCGCGCATCTCCATGTCGACCCTGGTGGTGCAGGCGTTCTGGAGCCCCAGTACCACCGAGTAAGCCCCTGAGGGCGGACGCCTACGCTGCCGAGCTTGGCTATGCTCTAGTGAGGAAAACTCCTACAAGTATTCGGGACTAGCCCTTCATTTGAACACGCGCACCGTTGCTATGGTTGCGCGCTTGCGCCCGCTTTGCATCAAGGCGCAACGCTACGTTTTTACTGTGTGTTCGAAAAAGAGTGGGCCTGTACTGCCTGTAGGCGTTGCGCTGAGTGATCAGAACCGTTTGTCGGAACTGTTACTTTTCACAGGTAGATGAGGCTCGCTTGATATGTAAGCGTATTGATCCTCCCAGGGGAGTCTTATGAGCAACAAAGCTTTAATTGTGGATGATCATCCTTTTATACGTGCCACCGTCAAATACCTGTTGAAGCAAGAAGGCTTCGATAAGATTTTTGAAGCAGGCAATGGTGCCGATGCGATGCAGATTGCCCGAGAGGAACGCCCGGACCTGGTCATTCTCGACTTGGCGATGCCCAAGCTCGGGGGGTTGGAGGTTATCAGTCGTATCAAGGCCCTGGAACTTCCCTGCAAGATCCTGGTGCTCACGTCGTATCTGGCGGAGTTCTTTTCCACTCGCTGCATGCGCGCCGGTGCGATGGGGTTTGTCGCTAAAACCGGTGAACTCGATGAACTGCAAAAGGCTATCAGAGCGATCCGCTCGGGCTACAGTTGTTTTCCCAGCCTGGCCACCAGTTCGGTACGCCGTGACGATCTGCAGTCCTCGGAGAAGGAATTGGTGGATTCGTTGTCGGACCGCGAACTGACTGTGTTGCAGAAACTGGCCCTGGGCCTGGGCAACAAGCAGATCGCTGCGGATATGCTGTTGAGTCACAAGACCATCAGCACCTACAAAACCCGGCTCAAGGAAAAACTACGCATGTCCTCGGTGGTGCACTTGTCCAAGTTCGCCCAACGCAATCATCTGATTTGAAATGATCACCTCTCGGCTGGCGAAACTCACGGCCATCCTTCTGATAGGGCTGTTGCCGCAGGCGGCGATGGCCCTGGACGAACCGCATCAACTGCAGTTGCTGGGTCACTCCACCCTGAAAGACGCTTCCGTGACGCTGGACGAAGCCGACTGGCGCTGGCTGCGGGAGCGCCGCGTGCTGGTGATGGGCGTGTCCGGGCCGGATTACGCCCCGTTTGACTTGACCAACAACAAGAACGAGCTCGAAGGCATCACCGCCGATTATGCGGCGTTGATTGCGGACATATTGAATGTGGCGGTTGATGTGCAGCGCTTCGACACCCGCGATGAGGTGATCGAAGCCCTCAAGACCGGCGTCGTAGATTTTGTGGGTTCGGCCAATGGCTATGAAGCGGCCGACCCGCAACTAGTGCTGTCCCGCTCTTATGCCAATGACCAACCGGCATTGGTCACACGCAGCGGCGACAGTCACGCCCTCAGCGCGGACCTGGCGGGCAAGCGCGTGGCGATGCTTTACCACTATATGCAGCCCGACGCCGTACAGGCCTTTTATCCCGATGCGCAGTTGCTGTTGTTTGGCTCGACGTTCGAAGCCATCGGCGCCGTAGCGTTCGGTCAGGCGGATGTGTACCTGGGCGATGCGATCAGTGCGCGTTACCTGATCAACAAGAACCATCTCAATAATGTGCGCTTGGCGGATTTCTCTGCGTTGGAGGTCAACCCGTTCGGCTTTGCCTTCGTCAAGGACAATACCCGTCTGCTGACGATTATCAACGCTGCGCTGGCCGCGGTGCCGGCTAACCAGCAGATGGAAATCCTGCGCCGCTGGAGTGCAGGCGGCAGCGGCTTCCTGGACGCCGACCGGCTGCGTTTGAGTGCGAGTGAGCAGCGTTGGCTGGAGAAAAATCCCCGAGTGAAAGTGGCGGTGCTCGATAAGTTCCTGCCGCTATCGTATTTCAACGAGCAAGCGCAATTCGAAGGGTTGAGCGCCGAGGTCTTATCGCGCATCAGCCTGCGTACCGGTTTGAAATTCGATGTGGAGCGTGGCAGCTCGCTGCCTCGGCAAATTGATGAGGTCAGTACTGGGCGAGCGGACATGCTGGCGGTCGTCACGCCAAGCGTGGAACGCTCGGAGAAAATCCGTTTTACCCGGCCCTACCTGTCTAACCCCTATGTATTAGTGGTGGCCTCCGGCAATGAGAACCTGATCACCCTGGAAGACATGGTCGACAAGCGTCTAGCGTTGATCGGCGGTGGCGGTCTGGCGTCCTACATCGCCGTGCACTACCCGCGAGTTGTTTTCGTCGATGTGGAAAACCCTGAGCAGGCCATGGAGTTGGTGGCCAATGGCAGTGTGGAGGCTGCCGCCGTTTCGCTGATCAGCGCGCGTTATATGATCGCGCGCCATTACCGTGATGGACTGCGCATCACCAGTACCATCGGCACCGAGCCGGCGCGCATCACCTTCGGGGTCAATCGTGGCCAACTGGAGCTGTACTCGATTCTCGATAAAGCCTTGTTGAGCATCACGCCAGAAGAAATGGACGAGCTGACCAATCACTGGCGCAACGAGATCATCGTGGAAGACAGCTATTGGATGCGTCATCGCAATGTGATTATTCAAGGCTTTGGCCTCGCCGCGTTGCTGCTACTGGTGACGTTGGGCTGGATCCTCTATCTACGCAACCTGATTCGCAAGCGTGCCCAGGCCGAGCGGGCGTTGAGCGATCAGATGCGGTTTATGAGCGTGCTCATCGACGGCACCCCCCATCCGATTTACGTGCGTGACCGCCAGGGTCGGCTGATGGCCTGTAACAATGCTTACCTGGACGTGTTCGGCTTCAAGCTCGAAGACGTGATCGGCAAGACCGTGGTGGAAACCGACACCGGCAACCCGCCTCAGGCCCAGTCGTTCCATGCCGATTACCTGCAGTTGATGGAGCGTGGCGAGCCACAGATTCATGATCGCGTGCTCAAGCTTCCCAGTGGCGAAGTGCTGACCATCTATCAATGGATGCTGCCGTACCGTGACGGTGACGAAAAGGTCGTGGGCATGATTGCCGGCTGGGTCGATGTCAGTGAGCGCCAGCGCTTGCTGGGCCAATTGCAGGAAGCCAAGGAAGACGCCGACGCCGCCAACCGCGCCAAGACCACGTTCCTGGCCACCATGAGCCATGAGATTCGCACCCCCATGAACGCCGTGATCGGCATGATCGAACTGGCGCTGAAGAACGCCGAGCAGGGCCGAGCCGATCGCGATGCACTGGAAGTGGCCTCGGTGGCCTCGCGCGGCATGCTGGAGCTGATCGGCGATATTCTCGATATCGCGCGCATCGAGTCCGGCCATCTATCCCTGACCCTGGCTCCGGCCAACCCGCACGAACTGCTGACGTCAGTCGCACGTGTGTTCGAGGGCCTGGCGCGAGACAAGGGACTGGCGCTGCAGGTGGAACTCGATCCGTTGATCGACTGTGCGGTGATGCTTGACCCGTTGCGCTTCAAGCAGGTGGTGTCCAACCTACTGGGCAATGCGATCAAGTTCACTGCCACCGGCCAGGTGCGCCTCGGCGCAATGGGCGCGACCCATCTGGACGGTCACTTGAACCTGAGGTTATGGGTTGAAGATACGGGCATCGGCATCAGCGCCGAAGACCAGCAGCGTTTGTTCAATCCATTTATACAAGGCGGCAATCACGAACAGTCCGCGCGCAGCGGTTCGGGCCTGGGCCTGGTGATCAGTCGCAACTTGTGCGAGATGATGGGCGGCCAACTGCACCTCACCAGTGTGCTGGGCAAAGGTACACGGATTGACGTGGCGTTGGTGCTGGCACTGACGACCGAGGCGCCGGTCTCTTTGCCTGTGCCGCACATCCCGCCGGCCCGGGCGCTCAACATCCTGGTGGTGGACGACTACCCGGCCAATCGCGTGCTGTTGGCGCGGCAACTGAGTTTCCTTGGGCATCATATCGTGACGGCCGACGACGGCGAGCAAGGGCTGGCGTTGTGGCAGAGCGGGCATTTCGATGGGGTGATCACCGATTGCAACATGCCCCTCAAGGATGGTTACGCGCTGACCCGCGACATCCGCGCCCAAGAGCGCCAACGTGGCCTGGTGCCGTGCCTGGTGTTGGGATTTACCGCCAATGCCCAGCCCGAAGAAACCGCGCGTTGCCGTCAGGCCGGCATGGACGGGTGTCTGTTCAAACCAACCGGTCTGGAGGATTTGCGCTCGGCGCTGGCGCCACGCACAGCGTGTGTCGTCAGCGACGAGGCTGAACCGGCGTTCAACTTGAGTGCATTGACCGCGCTGACGGGCGGTGACAAGGCCGCGCTGGAGGAGCTGTTGGCGCCGTTGCTTGCCAGTCTTAAAGAAGATAGCGCCATGTTGTCGACGCTGTACGAGCAGCGCAATTTCCCCAAGCTGCATGATTTGGCCCATCGCGTTAAAGGAGGGGCGCGTATGGTCAAAGCCCAGGTGCTGATCGCGTGCGCCGAAACCTTGGAAAACGTTTGTGAGCGTCGTCAGCTCGACGCCTTGGGCGCGGCGGTCGAGGCCATAAGGTCGGCCATCGACAGCCTGCATCACAGCTTGGCACTTCACTGCAATCAGACATGACGGGGATAGAAGGTCATTCGGGTGATTTGGGAGAACTCCTACGTGAACGGGGAACATGCCTGATTTTGTCGTCGGAATATGTCTGGACAATGGGCGGGGCTCACTGACGAGCACTGCCTGCCCAGGGGGGTTGCCATGCCGAACAAAGCACTGACTATCCTGATTGCCGATGAACAGCACCTGCAACGGCTGTACATCGAAAAAATGCTCAATCAATTGGGGTATCACCGGATTGTCCCGGTGCAAACCTTTGAAGAGGTTCAGATACTCACGGCCATCCCGGCCGAGCCGTTTGATGTGCTGATCATCAATGCGGGGCTGCTGGTCGATACTTGCGAGCCGCAACCTCAGGCGCGCCATGTGCTGGTCTACGACCACCTCGATCTCTGCAAGCCGACCGGCGCTACGCCGGCGGTACTGGTGCGCTTGCCGGGTGTGCCTGACAACGTCAATCTCGAACACTTCATGGATATCATCGACCCACCCGAGGCCGCTACCGGCCTTCGGGTGTTGCCGTGGCTGCGCGAGCTATCGCGCCAGCCGGTGGCAGGCGCCTAGCCTCACTGCGAAACGATGCCTGGGCCGCTCAGCGGCGGACATGTCCGCACTACGCGGCGAGCAAGTTCGGCTGAATCAGCAGCGCTCGCGCAAGCGTTGTGCCGCGCCGCGTAGCATCTGCTCGGTGCCATCCCAGCCCAGGCATCCATCGGTCACCGACACACCGTATTGCATCGACGCGCTCAAGGGCTGGCAGCCCTCGAACAAATGGCTTTCAAGCATCATGCCGATCAGCGAGGTGTCGCCCTGCAGGCGTTGCTCCAGCACGTCGTTGAATACCGCCGGTTGCCGCAATGGGTCCTTGCCACTGTTGGCATGGCTGCAATCGACCATGACCCGAGCCGCCACCTTGGACTTGGCCAGGTCGCCCTTGACCTGCGCCACGCTCTGCGCATCGTAGTTCGGGCCACGGTGGCCACCGCGCAGCACCAGGTGCGTATCAGGGTTGCCTGAGGTCTGGATGATCGCCGGATGCCCCTGGCTGTCGACGCCGAAGTGGCGATGTGGGTGGGCCGCCGAGCGCATGGCGTCACAGGCGATGGCAACGCCACCGTCGGTGCCATTCTTGAAGCCTACGGGCATGTCCAGGCCGCTGGCCATTTCGCGGTGGATCTGCGATTCGGTGGTGCGCGCGCCAATCGCCACCCAACTGAGCAGGTCGTCGAAGTACCCGGCGGCCATGGGTTGCAGCAGCTCGGTCGCGACCGGCAGGCCCAGACGCAGCATTTCTCGCATCAATTGGCGTGACAGGGTCAGGCCGGCGGCCATGTCATCGCTGCCGTCCAGGTGAGGATCATAGGCCAGGCCTTTCCAGCCGATGGTAGTGCGCGGTTTTTCGACGTAGGCACGGATCACCAGCAGCATCTGGTCGCTGACGTCGAGGGCAAGTTTCTTTAACTTGCGCGCGTATTCCATGGCCGATTCCGGGTCGTGGATCGAGCACGGGCCGACAATCACCAGCAAACGCGAATCCTCGCCATTGAGGATGGCACGCACGGCTTGGCGATGGGCGTGGATCTGTTCGACAAGGAACGGACTGAGCGGCAACTGCTGCTTGAGCTCAAGGGCGCTGGGCAGACGCTGGGTCAGGGCCTGATTGGCGCTGATCAGGGTGGAGACGGGCAGAGCGGCGACGGAGGAGTTCATATTCAAAGCTTCCTGGGCGAGCAGCGGGCGATTCCCGCGCTCGGCCCTACAGGGGTGTTCGACAATTGGCCATATCGGCGATGTGTGTTGGTTTGCCACCCATAGGTGACCGATCGGAGGCGGCAGACTGTCCCGAGCGGAGCTGGCTAAATCGCCATGCGGTGGAAGTGTCGTAGCGGTAATAAGTGGCGTAGTTCATGTCGTGCTTCCTGTTAAATATTCGTGATCAAGCAAAAAGAATAAGGGCCAGAAAAAACAAAACCCCCGGTCGGGGAGCCGACCGGGGGTTAGATTTCTCTGGCAGGCGACCCCTTGAGTAGTGGCCGCCGATTTCAGGTATCAGGCGCGCCAGTGGCTAAACCAATACCCAAAATAAAAGCTGACAGGTGCGCTCGAACCGTTCACGCAGGCGACCGACACCGAACGCATGGCGCTGGCGGCTAGGCAAACCTGAGGGTGGGCGAGTTGCAACATGTTATGTCTCCAAACGATGGCGGGAGCTTACTAGAGACGTGCGATGGGATTCAATCGGTAATTTCTATTGCGTGATGGGACTTACCGCTATGGGGGAGTGCCGATATGCTGGTAACACGTTGCGACTGATTATTCGGACACCCCATGACGGCCTTGACTCTTGCTGCGGCTCAATCGATTTCCCTCCCCGGCGATGTACCCGCCAACATTAGGCAGCACTTGGCGTTTATGCAGGTGGCGGCAGAACAGGGCGTACAACTGCTGGTATTCCCTGAGCTGTCGCTGACCGGCTATGAACCTTCGCTCGCGGCCGACTTGGCCATCGCACCAGACGCTGCGCAACTGACGCCTTTGCGCGTAATGGCCAGGGCACTTCGGCTGACCGTCGTGGTGGGGATGCCGATCCGGATGGCGCCCGATGCCGGTGTCATGATTGGCGCACTGGTACTGGGAGCGGATGGTTCCTGGGCGGTCTACACCAAGCAGCACCTGCATCCAGGCGAAGAAGTGGCGTTTGCCCCGGGGCAGGGCGGTGTGGCCTTAGAGTTCGGGGATGACCGCATCGCTTTATCGGTATGTGCGGACTTCACTCATGCCAGTCATCCGCATGCCGCCGCTGAAGCGGGCGCGAATGTCTATGCCGCCAGCGTGCTGATCAGTGAAGGCGGTTATGCAAAGGATTGTGCACAGTTACAAACTTACGCCGCTGAATATCGTCTGTTGGTGTTGATGGCCAATCATGGTGGCCCTTCGGGGGGCTGGGATTGTGCTGGTCGTAGCGCAATCTGGTCCCCCGATGGCCGATTGCTTGCCGCTGTGCCTGGCGTGGGCGAGGCGCTCTTGGTGGCGCGCCGCAATAACGACGTGTGGGCGGGCCACGTAGTGGCGCTCTGAATGATGTTTAACCTGCGCGCCGCCACGGACAATGACCGAACTTTCGCCCGAACCCTGACCTATGAGGCGATGAGCCGCTACTACCAGCAGTATGGTTTGCTGTGGTCCAACGATGGCTTTGATGTGGCGTGGGGCGGTCGCGAAAACTGGCTGATCTGCCGCGAGGCTTCAGTTTTGGGCTTTATCAGCTTGAGCCGCGACAGCAAGGCTCTCTACATCCGTGAGCTGCATATGCTCGAAGGCTGTCGTGGGCTGGGTGCCGGCAGTTGGGTGTTGCAGCAAATGACCGTGAAGGCGCAATCCTTGGGGCTATTGCGATTGACCGTATTCAAAACCAACCCGGCGCGCAGGCTGTATCAGCGCATGGGGTTGAGTATTGTTGGCGAAGAGGATTGCTTCTGGCGCATGGAGCGCGACTGTCGCCCAAGCTAAACAGTGCGTGTAAACCTAATAAGCGCATACTGGCCTCAGGAGTCGACTTCCTGATCGTTGTTTTGGCCATCAGCCTCAGAAAGGATGATCCCTTCTTTCATGCCCAAAAGGACCGCTACCTTATGGGCTTCTCCACGTCGCCCCTTTTTGCGCCCAGCGAGCACTTGATAGGTGGTTGCCGGATCTACGCCATGTTCACGGGCGAACGCTTGAACTGACTTTCCTTGATGTTCCAGCCAGGCCTTGGCTTGTGCAGCAGTACGGATTCCGGGCATAGTTCAAAACCGTTCAAGTTCGTTTAACGAAGAGATGATGGTGTCACCTCTTGGGGTGTGCCAACTAGGATCATACATCCAAATGAGTGGAATCGGTTCGCGTTTGAGGCAAGAAAGAGAGCGACTTGGCCTGTCGCAGAAAGTTTTTGGTGAAATTGGAGGTGTCGAAGCCAATGCACAAGGTAAATATGAAAGCGGCGGGCGCGCGCCTAAAGCCGATTATTTATCACGCGTCGCTGCAAGAGGCGTGGATGTGCTCTATGTATTGACTGGCACCGCCACGCCCCTTCAACTCGATAATTTGAGCCAGATCGAAGAGAAAGTATTGGGTGACTACCGCGCGATGTTCAAGGAGGACCAAGATGCAATTCGTCGCCTCACCTCCACCTTGGCCGAACACAGCGCTTCAGTGAACGGAAAATCCAAGGTCCAGCCCTCGGATTCCTGACCTTTCGTCCAGCAATTGCGGCTATCCGCCCCTCGGCGGATGGCCTTTGCTTATCCAACGTCCATATATATGACGCGTGCAGCTAGGTCTGCGCCTTGGTTTTTTGCTAAGGTGTTCAGCAACCTATAAGACCATATCGCGAGGTGTCTGCTTGATTAGGGTGCTAGTAGTCGATGACCATGATCTCGTTCGTACAGGCATTACACGAATGCTGGCTGACATCGACGGCCTGCAAGTAGTCGGTCAGGCCGAGTCGGGGGAAGAGTCCCTGATCAAGGCCCGGGAATTGAAACCCGATGTGGTGTTGATGGACTTCAAGATGCCAGGCATCGGCGGTCTGGGTGCCACCACCAAATTGCTGCGCAGCCATCCGGATATCAAGGTCGTGGTAGTGACTGTGTGCGAGGAAGACCCGTTCCCTACGCGCTTGCTGCAGGCCGGCGCGGCCGGTTACCTAACCAAGGGCGCCGGCTTGGCGGAAATGGTGCAAGCCATTCGTTTGGTGTTTGCCGGTCAGCGCTATATCAGCCCGCAGATTGCCCAGCAGTTGGCTATTAAATCGTTCCAGCCCACCAGCGACTCGCCGTTCGATGCTTTGTCTGAGCGGGAAATCCAGATCGCTTTGATGATCGTCGGTTGCCAGAAAGTGCAGGCCATCTCCGACAAGCTGTGCTTGTCGCCCAAGACCGTCAACACCTACCGTTATCGTATTTTCGAGAAGCTCGCCATCAGCAGTGATGTTGAATTGACCCTGCTCGCGGTGCGCCACGGCATGGTGGACGCCAGCGCCTGACATGACCACGCCGTTTGATCCCAGCGCCTTTCTCTCGACTTGCAGCGGCCGCCCCGGCGTGTACCGCATGTTCGACAGCGAGGCGCGCCTGCTTTATGTGGGCAAAGCCAAGAACCTGAAGAACCGCCTGTCGAGCTACTTTCGCAAGACCGGACTCGCGCCGAAAACTGCGGCCCTGGTGGCGCGTATCGCTCAGGTCGAAACCACCATCACCGCCAACGAAACCGAAGCGCTGTTGCTTGAGCAGACCCTGATCAAGGAGTGGCGGCCCCCCTATAACATCCTGCTGCGGGACGATAAGTCTTACCCGTACGTATTCCTGTCCGACGGCAACTTCCCACGCCTGAGTATTCATCGCGGGGCCAAGAAGCAGAAGGGCAAGTACTTCGGGCCGTATCCCAGCGCGGGGGCGATTCGTGAGAGCCTGAGCCTGCTGCAAAAAACCTTTTTTGTGCGCCAGTGCGAAGACAGCTTCTACAAAAACCGCACGCGGCCTTGCTTGCAATACCAAATCAAGCGCTGCAAGGCGCCCTGTGTGGGGCTGGTGGAGCCGGCGGAGTATGCCGAGGATGTACGGCATTCTGTGATGTTCCTCGAAGGTCGCAGCAATGCGCTCACAGATGAGTTGTCAGCGGCCATGGAGCAGGCAGCCAATGCCCTGAATTTCGAACGGGCTGCCGAACTGCGCGACCAGATCTCGTTGCTACGGCGGGTGCAGGATCAGCAGAGCATGGAAGGTGGCAGTGGCGATGTCGATGTGATCGCCGCGTTCGTCAACCCGGGCGGTGCTTGTGTGCACCTGATCAGCGTGCGGGGCGGGCGGGTTCTCGGTAGTAAGAATTTCTTTCCGCAGACCGGTATCGACGAGGATGTGGCCGAAGTCATGGCGGCATTTCTGGGGCAGTACTATGTCAGCAGTCCGGAGCGCGACTTGCCTTCGGAACTGATTGTCAACGTGGTCCATGAAGACTTCCCCGCACTGATCGAAGCCATTCACGAACTGCGCGGCCGCGAGCTGGATATCAGCCATCGCGTGCGTGGCACTCGTGCGCGTTGGCAGCAACTGGCGGTGACCAACGCTGAACAGGCTCTGAGTGCACGCCTGGCCAATCGACAGCATGTTGCCGCACGCTTCGATGCCTTGGCTGAGGTGCTCAATCTGGACGAGCCACCGCAGCGCCTTGAATGCTATGACATCAGCCACTCCAGCGGCGAAGCCACGGTGGCCTCCTGCGTGGTGTTCGGGCCGGAAGGGCCGATCAAGTCCGATTACCGACGCTACAATATTGAAGGGGTCACCGCCGGCGACGATTACGCGGCCATGCATCAGGCCCTCACACGGCGCTTCAGTAAATTGAAGCATGGCGAGGGCAAACTCCCTGACATCCTGTTGGTGGATGGTGGCAAGGGCCAACTCTCCATGGCCCGTGATGTACTCAACGAACTGGCGGTGCCCGACCTGATCCTGCTGGGTGTCGCCAAGGGCACCACGCGCAAGGCCGGTTTTGAAACGCTGTACTTGAATGATGCCGCCCACGAGTTCACCTTGAAGGGTGACTCGCCGGCCCTGCATCTGATCCAGCAGATCCGCGACGAAGCTCACCGTTTCGCCATTACCGGCCATCGCGCCCGCCGTGGCAAAACTCGACGAACCTCAACCCTGGAAGGGGTTGCGGGGGTGGGCCCGACGCGCCGCCGCGACTTGCTCAAACATTTTGGTGGCTTGCAGGAGCTGTCCCGTGCCAGCATTGACGAGATAGCCAAAGCACCCGGTATCAGTAAAAAGCTCGCTGAGTTGATTTATGCGAATCTGCACAGCGAATAGAATGCCTTTCCACCTCGTAGCCAGTTGTGCCGATGAATATCCCTAATCTGATTACCGTTCTACGCGTCCTGCTCATCCCGATTTTTATTTTGCTGTTTTATTTGCCCTACCAATGGAGCTACCTGGCCTCAAGTTCGGTATTCGCCTTCGCGGCAGCGACCGACTGGCTCGATGGCTACCTGGCGCGTCGCCTGGAGCAGAGCACGCCGTTCGGCGCATTTCTCGATCCCGTGGCCGACAAGCTGATGGTGGCTGTGGCCCTGGTGCTGCTGGTACAGGAGCACGGCAACCTGTGGCTCACGTTGCCTGCCGCCGTGATCATCGGCCGCGAGATCGTGGTGTCGGCCCTGCGTGAATGGATGGCCGAAATCGGCGCCCGCGCCCACGTTGCGGTCTCCAACATGGGCAAGTGGAAAACCGCTGCGCAGATGCTTGCCCTGGTGATCCTGCTGGCCAATCCGTCCGATTTCACCTTTGGGTCCTGTTGGGCTACGCCTTACTGCTCATCGCCGCTGGCCTCACCTTGTGGTCCATGCTCCAATATTTACGCGCCGCCTGGCCTCATCTGCGCACCACCGTTGAAAAGAAATAAAACATTTTTGAATCAAGGGGTTGACGGGTGATGAGGATTCTATAGAATGCGCACCACCAAGACGCGGGAATAGCTCAGTTGGTAGAGCACGACCTTGCCAAGGTCGGGGTCGCGAGTTCGAGTCTCGTTTCCCGCTCCAAATATAGATCTACAGAGTTCCATGGAAGTCTGTAAGTCATTGAAAATAGACGCTTAGGCGTCTTTTTTCGTTCCGTTGGCATCCACTCAAAGCTACGGGTATCTGGACTAGATTTAGTCCAGAATCTAGTCCATAAAAATGGCGGGCTTCGAGATCGGATTGTTGCAGGAGCCCAACGAGTCATTTGCTGAACATCTAGCCCTGAATCCAACCTTCAGGAGGCTAGAAGCATGGCTCTTTCAGATGCTGCCGTCCGGCAGGCCAAGCCCACCGGCAAAGACTACACTCTCGGCGATATTGACGGTCTGTCCCTGGCGGTGACGGCTTCGGGCGGGCGTTCGTGGCACTTTCGTTACTGCTGGAACGGTAAGCAAAAGCGCATGTCGATGGGCACCTATCCCGAAGTCAGTTTGCGTGAGGCGCGTTCCCTTCGGACGAAGCGCGCAAATTATTGGCGCAAGGGGTCAACCCCCAGGCGCATCGCCGGCACACCCGTGAAGCTGACCGGCTGGCAGAAGAAAACACATTTAAGAGTACGTTCGACCACTGGGTCGAGCATCGGTCGCTCTCCCTCAAGGAAGGCCGGCAAAGCACGCTGTCTCAGATTCGGCGGATCTTTGGCAAGGACGTGCTGCCCACGCTTGGCCTGTGCTCCATCGGTGACATTCGTCGCCCTGATCTGCTAGCGGTGTTGGCGCGGATCGAGCAGCGCGGCGCGTTCACGACTGCCGAGAAGTGCCGGACCTGGTTCAATCAGCTGTTTCGTTTCGCCATGGTCAAGGTTCCGGCGCTAGAGCAGAACCCCGCCTCAGACCTGGACGTGGTGGCGATGCCCAAGCCGTCGGTGGTCCATCAACCCTTCCTGCGTATGGCCGAGCTTCCGGCCTTGTTACACACCTTGCGTGATTACGGCGGGATGGAACAAACGCGGTTAGGAATACGGCTGTTGCTGTTGACGGGAGTACGCACGGGAGAACTGCGTTGGGCGACCCCGCTCAGTTTGATCTTGAGCGAGGGTTGTGGACCATTCCCTCCGAGGTGGT